AAGATGAGTTCCAGGCTCACCTGGAAGCTGGCAATCCTAGCTATAGTGGCAGGTTTTAGGTAGAATACTTTGTATGTCCTGAAACTGGAAGTAGAATAATAGAATCACGGAGTTGAAAAGGGCCATACAGGTCATCTAGTCCAACCCCCTGCTCAATGCAGGATCAACCTAGAGCACCCCTGACAACCAGGGCTATTTTTGGGCAGGAACACACAGGAACGGAGTTCCGGCTGGCTCCCAAGTTGGCCACGCCCAGCAGGAACTCATTAGCATAATAGGCCACACCCAACAGCAGAAACGCATTAGGATTGGCTACAATTAGGGGTGTGTGGCCTAACATGCAAAAGGCCCTGGGTTTTGACAACAAACAAGGTAAAGAGAATAAGAAGCAAAAGGTGGGTGTGGCTGGATGAGCACATGTCTGGTAACATGGGGGTGTGGCCCAGCTGTGGCCCAATATGCGAATGAGCTGTGCTGTCAGGGTGTGGCCTAATATGCTAATCAGTTCCTGCTGCTGAGTATGACCTATTATGGTAATTAGTTCCTGCTGGGCTTTTTCTACAAAAAAAGCCCTGCTGACAAGTGTTTGTCCAGCCGATGCTTCAAGACGGCCAGGGAGGGGGAGCTCACCACCTCCCGAGGCAGCTGATTCCACTGCTGCACAACTCGGACTGTCAAAGGGTTTTCTCTGATATCCAGCCGGGACCTTCCCGCCTTTAATTTAGACCCATGATTGCAAGTCCTCTCCTCCGCTGCCAAGAGGAACAGCTCCCTGCCCTCCTCTAAGGGACAGCCCTTCAAGTGCTTCAAGTGAGCAATCGTGTGCCTCCTCAGCCTCCTCTTCTCCAAACTTAACAGTCCCAAGCAAAGTTCCCTCTAAGCTCTAGAGTCCTGTGAGCAAAAATTCTACTTTGTGAGCTACCGGCATTAAAGTTGTGAGCAGGTGATTTGGCTACTGCATAAGTTAGTGTGTCCTGAGCGGAGACAAAACTGTGTGAGCTGGAGGCTAAAGAACTGTGAGCTAGCTCACACTAACTCAGCTTAGAGGGAACACTGGTCCCAACAGTCCCTCAGCCTTTCCTCCTAGGCCCCTGATCTTCCTCATCGCTTTCCTCTGCACCCTCTCGGTTTTGCCCACATCCTTTTTGAAGCGAGGCCTCCAGAACTGCACACACAAGACTCCAGGTGCAGCCTGACCAACACAGTGCACAGTGGGTCCATCACATCTTGCGATGTCTTCTATTAGAGAAACCTGACTTCCGTTAGAAAAAGAGATCCTCGGAGTCCTCAGTGGCCTTTCCCTGACCTAATGAAACCCCAGGACAGCAAAGCAGAATGGATCTAAATAGGGCTGCAAAAACTTTTATTTGCAGGGCAGCCGATCGACCCTTCGTTGCTCATCAGAAATTCCGTCTCCAACGTGATGTGCGCGGTGGCTTTCGGGCACCGCTTTTCTGTGGATGATGAAGAATTCGTCAAGCTGGTCAATGCGGTTATGTACAGCTTGAGTTTTGCGGCCAGCTTCTTTCATGGGGTGAGTAATTTGCTAGAAGTCCCTTTTCCCTCTACCCCGCACTGCACCTTTAATGGCTATTAGTCTACATGGGTCTCAGTCTGGTGCAGTCGTTTGGTGTAGTGGTTAGGAGCGTGCACTCTAATCTTGGAGATCAGGGAGAACTGGGTTTGATTCCCCATGCCTCCACATGCAGCTGCTGGTGTGACCTTGGGTCAGTCACAAGTTCTCTCAGAGCGGTTCTCTCAGGAGCAGTTCTCGAAAGAGCTCTCTGAGCCCCACCTACCTCACAGGGTGTCTGTTGTGGGGAAGAGAACGGAAAAAGATTGTAAGCCGCTCTGAGACTCCAAGTGAAGGATGGGGTATAATCCCAAACTCTTCCTCCTCCTCTTGTTGATGATATTCTTTGGCGTGCAATCCAATCACTCCTGAAATGAGAGTCCTTCCGTTGTAAGCCAGTGGCTTATAACTATGTAGTGTGGTGTACAGCCAGTGTGGTGTAGTGGTTAAGAATGCTGGACTATATCTGGGAGACTTATAGGGGTCATTTCGTAGAAAAAGAGGTGCAGGAGCTCATTAGCATAACTCATTAACATAATTTATTTGCATATGCCACACCCCCTGACATCACCGGAAGTGTGTCAGAAGGCAACACCCACCGCTCAGGCTCCACTGGACTGTTTTGGATTGCTAGCTATTGGGGGGTGGAGGAACGTGCAGATCTGCCCTCGCAGAGGAGGGAGAGCTTGTACCTGAATAAAACTTGGTCTTAAAAGTGCCACTGGACTGTTTTGGACCAGGGGGCCGGGGGGGGAGCTCTGCAACTTACCTGGCTGCTTCTTGCTCTGACTGAGGGCTGCTGGGGGCAGGGGGTGGGGCTTGTTGCATGTGCCCGCCCCCTGGGCTCTTTACTGCCGGAGCTCTGCTCCTGTGCGCTCCTGCAGGAAATGACCCCTGCTTGAGTTCAAATCAAAAGAAAACGCACGTTCACTTTGCAATTGGAACCAGGATCCAATACCTAGAAAAATGTGTTGAATGTAACATGAGGATTATTCAATTTATTTTTTAAAAAAGTAAAATGTAGAAGAAGAGTTGAAGAGCCGATTTTTATACCCTGCTTTTCAGTACCTGAAGGAGCCTCCAGTTTGGTGAAGTGGTTAGAAGCGTGGATTCTAATCTGGGAGAACTGGGTTTGATTCCCCACTCTGCCACAGGCAGCTGCTGGTGTGACCTTGGATCAGTCACAAATTCACTCAGAGCTGTTCTCTCAGGAGCAGTTCTCCAAAGAGCTCTCTCAGCCCCACCTACCTCACAGGGTGTCTGTTGTGGGGAGGGGAAGGGAAAGGAGATGAGAAGCCGCTCTGAGACTCCTTCGGGTAGTCATTATTTGCTGACATGGCACCCCAAGCCCCTCTGGCTGTGAAGAGAAAAAAGGCACTCCCTTCTCCTAACATGATGCATCCAATTTCCATCTCCACATCTACCTTTGTCTGAAACCCTGGCAATGGTCAGCCCTGTAACTTTTCACCTCCTTCTCTCCAACCTCCTGAGAAAGTTGGTCCCGTGTACAGCCAGTCCTGTTTTCACCTTTGGAATTTTGACACAGTGTGGTGGGTGCAGCCACAAAAGGGCTGCCACAAAATGGCCGCCACAGGAGGTGGACCCAGGCACAAAACGGCCACCACAGGAGGTGGACCCAGGCACAAAATGGCCACCACAAGAGGTGGACCCAGGCACAAAATGGCCGCCACAGGAGGTGGACCCAGGCACAAAACGGCCACCACAGGAGGTGGACCCAGGCACAAAACGGCCACCACAGGAGGTGGACCCAGGCACAAAATGGCCGACGCAGCTCACCTTCAGTCACACAGCGAAGCTCCTTGTACTGGGGTGGCAGCTGCTGCCAAAGCAACGTCTTTAAAAGTCTGCACAGCCAATCAAATCTCCAATGGCCAGTCAATGGTCTTGCGGGGCAAAAGCCCCACCCGGTCCCACTCACTTTCTGAAAAAGACTCGGTGGGCCCCGGAAACATGTTGGCAGTGGCCATGGCACCCACGGTTAGACTGTTGGGGACCAAGGCTCCCTCTAAGCCATGGAGACTTGTGAGCAAAAATCCTACTTTGTGAGCTCCTGGCATTAAAGTCGTGAGCGTGAGTCGTGGCTGCTGCATAAATGAGTTTGCTCTGGAGCCCTCCTTCCTGATCGAAGACAAAAATGTGTGAACCCGGGGCTAAAAAACTGTGAGCTGGCTCACACTAACTCGGCTTAGAGGGAACACTGTTGGGGACCCCTGCCCTAAGGCATTCTAAGCGGCAGAATGCCTTACAGCCCACCTTCTGAAACTGCCTCTAATCTGGAGATCATTCGTAATTTTGAGACGGCTCCAGCCCCCACTTGGAGATTGACAACCTAGAGACTGTTCATGTGTCTCCACTGCGTCATCCAATGCTTCTCTGAGGCCCACCTGTCTCTCAATGAAACTGGAATGAATATACTAGGCCTCTTGTGTAACATAATCCGATATGATGGATTATGGATAATTGGAATCATAGAATGTACAGAGCTGGAAGGGATCCCAAGGGTCATCTAGTCCAGCCCCTTGCCCAACACAGGACATTCACTGCTCCCCTCCCCCAAAATTAATATATTCTTCAAATGATGGAAGAGTAGTGATGGTCAAAATAAAGAAACAAAACACATAGACTGTAATAGTAAACATATATGCGCCAAATCAGAATCCAGAACCATTTTTCAGAGATCTTCAAGAAGTATTAACATCAAATGTCTGGAAAAAATCTTTGCATTATTGGTGATTTTAATGCAGTGGTTGACCCCAAAATAGACAGGAAAACCCACAATGGAAGAAAGAAAACAGGCATGATCATACCCAAGACCTTTTTATATATAAAGCAGAAGAGTATAACTTAATAGATGCCTGGAGAACCAGAAATATTGAAAAGAAAGACTATACCTACTATTCATTTAAAAACATTTTTAAAGGCATGTGCTCCTTTAAACAGAGTGGCGTGCTGTAGTTGACTAATTTCTGCACTGAGCAAGGGGGTTGGAGTAGGTGACCTCTAGGATACCTTCTAACTCTGTGCCAAGGAACTGGTCTCCTTGAAGAGAGTTTTTCTCCCTAAGTGTTAGCTTTCTTGACTATAGAAGTCATCACCCCCACCTGCCGGCTTGCTCTCAGAATTGTGGCTTAGGCTGGCAGAAGCGATTAACTTGCAGCAGCTTTCATCTAAAGTAGTCGACAGCTTGCAGTTTAGAGATCTATCCTGGTAACAGTTTTCTATTGGTTAAATGGCTTTTCTTTCTGCACTGAGAACTTCACCCCACCAGAAAGAAATTTGCCCCACAAGCCAGGAGATCATGGCTACAGGCCTAACTCTGTTCTATGCCCAGAGGAAGGCAAAAAAACCCCCACTGACCCAGAGGAACATTCCTTCCTAATCCCAAGGTGGTGATTAGTATTACCCTGGGCATGTAAGAAAGGGCCACCAGAGCTGGGGACTGGCTCATCCCTCCCTCCCCTCCCTCTCATGATCTGCCTGAAGGTGCATGAACCATTTTCTTAACCCTCTCATGGTAGTGACTGAATTTTACTTTCCTCTTCTATCTGCAGCTGTATGAAATTCTCCCCAGGCTAATGAAACATCTCCCGGGGCCTCACCAGACGACCCTGGTCTGCACAGAGGCTGTGCTTTCCTTTGCCCGGAAGGAGATAGAGCTCCACAAGGAGCAGCAGACGATACACGAGCCACAGGACTTCATTGATTACTATCTGTTTCAGATGGAAAAGGTAAGGGTAGGCTCTGTCTGTCTGGTGTCGTGGTTAAGTGCGCGGACTCTAATCTGGGAGAACCGGGTTTGATTCCCCCCTTCTCCACTTGCACCTGCTGGATGACCTTGGGCAAGCCGTAGTTCTGATAAGAGCTGTTCTTGATAAAGAGTGGTCTCTGTCAAGAGCTCTCTCAGCCCCACCTACCTCACAGGGTGTCTCTTGTGGGGAGGGGAAGGGAAAGGAGTTTGTAAGCCGCTCTGAGACTCCTTTGGGTAGTGAAGGGTGGGGTATAAATCCAATCTCCTCTTCTTCTTCCTCTGTGAAGGTGGTACACACATTTTCTAGATAAATAGACACATGAAACTGCCCTATACCCTTGGTCCATCTAAGTCAGTATCATCAGGTCTTTTAACTGGAGATGCCGGGGATTGAACCTGGGACCTTCTGCATGCCAGGCAGATCCTCTACCACTGAGCCACAGCCCCTCTTTACAGCTCTCCAGGGTCTCAGGCTGAGGTTTTTTTTAACTGAAGATGCCGGGGATTGAACCTGGGACCTCCTGCATGCCAGGCAGAGGCTCTTCCACTGAGTCACAGCCCCTCTTTACAGCTCTGCAGGGTCTCAGGCGGAGGTCTTTCCCATCACCTCCTGCCCATTCCTTTGAACTGGAGATGCCGGGGATTGAACCCGGGACCTCCTGCATGCCAGGCAGAGGCTCTTCCACTGAGCCACAGCCTCTCTTTACAGCTCTCCAGGGTCTCAGGCGAAGGTCTTTCCCATCACCTCCTGCCTGGTCCTTTTCACTGGAGATGCCAGAGATTGAACCTGGGACTTCCTGCATGCCATGGTCCCTGCATGCAGGATTCCCAACATGCTGCCTCTGGATGCTATGGTGCCTGCCAGTACTTCCCCTGGCACCTGCTGAGCTTTTCAGAAAGTAGGCAGGGCCACTGTAAGGCAAGGATCGTTATTGGCTGCCCTCAAACAAATGAAAGGGGCTTCCATGGCTGCAATTGAAGCTGCAGCCTCTGGAGGATCGGGAGGACTATTAGGCACCCAGGCCTGTGGTTCCTTTTCCCCTTTTCCTCCCCCCCTTCTCTTCCCTCTCTTTGAAGAAGAAAACGAGATTGGATTTATACTCCGCCCATCAGTACCCAAAGGAGTCTCAGAGCATCTTACAATCTCCTTTCCCTTCCCCTCCCCATGATCGACACCCTGTGAGGTAGGTGGGGCTGAGATAACTCTCTCAAGAACTGCCTTTGAGAGAACAGCTCTGAGAGAACTTGTGACTGATCCAAGGTCACACCAGCAGCTGCATGTGAAGGAGTGGGGAATCAAACCTGATTCTCCCAGATTAGAGTCCGCACTCTTAACCACTACACCAAAGGGGCTCTCAGTTTCCTTCCTTCCTTCCTTCCTTCCTTCCTTCCTTCCTTCCATCTATAAAGGATTAAAGGATCCCTTCTTCAGGAATGCATTTTTGTTTTCAATTATATTTTGGCCTTTCTGCAAAGCTACGCCAAACATAAAGGTATGAGGTTGGATCCTGCCAATTCATTTTGGCAGTGGTGGTACAATATAGCTTTTTTGTTGTTGTTAAGGCAGAGACTCTTTGCACCAGAGGACAATGTCACATGTAGCAGAGTGGATCCATGGGATTCCACCTGTTTTCATGAAGTGGATCCCAATCATTGCTGTGCCCTATGTATTATTATTTACAGTTTTTACCATATACTCCAACTGAAAAAAAGAGGTAGTGATGTCAGTGAATGGTGACCTGTATAATTAGTGCACCCTGATTGAACAAAGCTTCCCATCTTGATATAGAAAAGTATGCCTGGGGAAAATACCCTCACATTTTCATTCTTGGGACATCCTAATTGACTTGTCTAGTAGAAAACATTTTTGTGCATTCAGTTTAAAAACCAATTAAGTTAAGGGAAAACACACATTCCTTTCAGAACCCTCAATGAGGCTTCTAGGAGATTTTTTTTTTTTTTTTT